AAAAGTATTTCGCATTGTTATTAAAGCAGTCAACAGAAGCTACTAAGAGAAAAGGAAACGATGGGTGGATCTCTTAGTGTGGAAGCTAGTAAACGGAGCAGCGAGAGTGGATTAGCAGGTGATGCGTGGTCAGATGAACTTCATTACCAGCGATGACAAACAAGACCCTACCCTTGTTCTGTTCAACAGTAAATACAAACGCATCTTTGCAAGACACTAATTACCGTCGGAAATTAGGGGTGAAGCACTTGACAGAGCTCCACAATAGGTGTGGTACTAAAACAAATCACTAAATAGATGATGAACGTGGAAAAAGGCCAGATGTTTCATACGCCCACAATTTCTCAAAGAAATCTGATAGGCGATGAAACTCTTATGAAGCTTAAAGCCATATTCATATGACGGAGTTGAAGTAAAAATTTTGAGGGTGCACAGAAGAAACTTTTTTCCGTTCTATCCACGTGAAATATGACCTCAAAATTTGTGATTCCAAATGACTCCGAGACCATTCGTGAACCGATATAACATTGTTAGTAACGTTCATCGATGCAAGGTGCTGTCTTGTTGGTTATTTAGCATCAAAAAGGACTGAGAAACAAAAAAAACAGAAATGAGTCCAAATAAAATATTGCACAGCATACACCAAGAAATTCTGCATTGCAGTTTTGCTCTAGGGATGTTTGTCCTAGGCAGCGATTGAAAGTGGAAGCTTTTATATATAGTGGAAGTTTTCGGAGAGGTGGATTCCATATATATATTTTCTCGTCAGATATTAGTCCTTTTCGCATATATTATCTTATATGTCTACTGGTGGAATAACTTCTATCACACAATAGTTAACTGTTTCCCGTCGTATCAGGTTCTTGCGATTAACGCCTTTTGTTGATAGTTTAATTTTCATTAATATTGTGTATGCTGCATAAAGAGATTAGTCGGATACTCACCGAGTACACTATATTCATCAAGGTTCCAACACGTAGTCCTGGTGAGAATAAATGAGAGTTTTCATTGTTTGCTCACATGAGCTGAGTTACTTACTTCTCTAGGCCAGTCATGTTCTAAACAGTGTGTCTTCAGGTTTGAAACTGTCCCTGTGTCACCCTAGGTTTTAAACCATCTACAGCGGCTAGAATTATAAAAAGAGGAACATCATGCATGCCTAATGTTACTAAATGTAAAGCGCCAGCATTATATCTACATGAATGAAACGTTTTTAAGATGGCACACATCCATCGTGTGGCAATGACCGGCACTTCCGAAGTCCGGTGCCAGCAGATTCATTTTTTCAATTCGAGTAGACAAGTTCAAAAGAACTAATCTAATTTATTTAAAGCTTCATTACTTTCATTAAAAACTGTGCATTGCAAGCATTATTGATTGTCATATTTTTTCCGTAACAGAAATAAACAAAGACATGTGCAGAGTAACATTTTTGAAACTAAAATATGCGTTCGATATGATTCAGATAGTACTATTCATAAATCGGCTCTAGTCGTGAATTGCTGACTCATCTAAATGAATCGCTTTATCTTCAGGAACTTCGATCAATATGGAAGAAGGTGTACACATACACACAGCATATACAATGGCACAGATTGAGAACGTTGGCTCAACATAAAATGTATTTTGTCATGTTGTGCTCATTTTAGAAATAACTATGCTGTTGGGTGAGCGCCTCATATAAATTCAGTTCGTCTTGACCACTGGATAGCTGTTTATTCCATGTGGTAATTAACTGAAAGGGTAATCATGTCATTGCTATGAGGAGAATCTTGATGTATGTTTCCAGAGACAAGCTTTCCGAACCATTAATCAAACAATACCTGCAAACTATTATATAACTATACAGTCGCTATTTCTGGAGGCTTCGAATGCGTTTGAAACGTTCCATCGTTTTGCTTGGCGTAGGTATTCTCTTTAAATCGCAGAAGCAATATTTTGCTGACTTACGACTTTCTCATTCAGTAATTTCTGCTGATAAGTAAATAGTAAAAAGCATAAATTCGTTGTTCGGGGAAAATACTGTTTGTCTTTGACAACACCTACAATTGTTTTTTGAATTGTCAGTGAGAAGTCAGTTCGACCGATACGTTTTAATGAAACTTCAAAGGCACTTAAAGATATTTTCTGGCTTTCATTTGCTTATATGCTTGAATATCGATCAGTCATTGGTCTTTAAAGTTTGCTGTATATTGCTGTCGTAATGACCACCATTATCTCAGATCCAGCAGCCTTAGTCGCGTAGCTTTCCTGATATTGGTAGATGACTTGCTGTAGATGGTACCTTTCATGAATGCAAATTCGCTGCCTGTGCCAGGATGCATATATACAGATAGAACACCTGTTTTGTCTTGAACAAAAAGAAAATGTTTTAGGTTTACATATCACCAGCTGTTCGTACACTGGAATACGTCAAATAACAAAAGAATCATCCGAAACCAGATTATACGACGTATTGCACTACCCCTTGCTCCTAGTTTCCTTTGAGGTGCGGAAGCTGTTTAGGCAGGCTGCGGCTCGCTGGTATTAGAGCACCTGCAATGCCAGATGCGTCTCGCATCATTTTGTCCAATAGAGCTACCTCGCGCTCGTCAGGAACATTGTGTCAGGGAACTGGTACTTCTTATATACTACCTCGCAAACAGTATAAGTTATTCTTACGTCTAATTATGTCAAATAGGTTGTTAAATCTGGCGTTGGAGGATTCATTCGTTGTATATTTAAGATTTAAGGTTAAATTTGACGTATAATTGACAAAATGACCAAAAAAATTGGAATATCAAAACAAATCTATCACCTCCAGTTTAAAAGGCAGCTACCTAACTAGAGTGTATTTAAGACTGATTTTTGCAAGCGTTCCGGAACTTTTTGGATATGGACGCGGATTATCGCGCTAAGTAATCGGCCATCAGATAGGTCCGAGTAAACCTTAGCCCCAAGAGGTGATTGCATGAATAAGCATGGCCATATTTCTCATCAGTTCCGGCATGATAACACGAGAATACCATGCTACCTCTATTGTTCTTTAGTCAGTTACATGTTACTCCCTTCACTGCTGGTTTCATCAAAGCAACATGTGAAGAATTCTTTGCTTAAAGAGATTGAAAGTTGAGAGTCTTTTTTTCCAGAGTTAGAATCGGTCTCTTTATCATCGTTCCAATAGAATGGCATAGCTATTAAGATAAGTGATATCCGGTTTGTAGAATTGGTCTCAGATGGATATGCTGGCCCTTTGCAAATCGAATGTGAAGTCCTCGAGTAAAGATCTGAATTCATTGTACGCTAGTACTGATGCCTTCAGAAGCTCAGTACTTCATCATCTGCTGTGGAT